ACCCATCTGTTTGCTGCCTTTTAGATTAGTGAGGAACGAAGTATGGAAGTCATTTCAGCAATGCATATTCTAAAAATGTTGTGTCTTCCTATCTGCGCTTCTTCATCTTGCGTTTTTTTGGTTCTACCGGATCATGTTTCAGAAACCTATATTATAATGTTAGACCATAGAGGGCTGTCTTTTTTACACATACCAGTCACGACATATGCAGCCCTTGGTTACATTTTTGCCGCTCTTACAGACTTGAAGACCATGTTTTACTACCCTCATGAGTCTTCAGAAAAATATGCGGTCTAACACGCCACTGGTAGAGCCCGCCAAAAGCGGGATATCTAACGCATTTTTAATGTAGACACACTGTGATGGAATGTTACGTGTGGACTTCAATATTAGGACATATTACGTTTTCTACAAATCTGGGTGCTGAATGGAAGATCCGCACATACACAACATGTCGGGTGATGCTAAATGCTGTACTCTTAGTTCCAAATTGCTCTTACGTCGATTTCTGCTTAGACTTATGATGGGTACAAATCTATAAAGGGTAAAAACTGTATGTATAATTCTACACAATAAAATATAGACCTATACCTAATACAATCAGACATGCAGCCTAACATAATAAAGCACACCTAAATATATATTTTGTAACTTATATAAACCAAAAATGTATCCACTATCAATCTCCCACACTACAAACCTGCGTATATCCCCAACCAGGCAAACCGTAAGCTCCCGTGTAAAAATGCAAAAGCCGAGGTATTAAACGAATTAAATTCATTTACATTTTAATTACGAAGTTGGTAACGTAGTTAAAGCTGAAACACAAAACCAATTTAGTAAATGCTTCCATAAAGTATAAAAGTGGCACCTTTGAAACGGGTTTGAGCGACGTTCCGTCAAGTGAAACGGGAGGCCGTGAGAGTTTTAAGTAGTTACTTGAAGTTTTCGGAGTTGTTTGGATCTTCGGGGCGTCGGGATAAATATTTTGATTGGCGTCATCAAATTGTAGCAGACTCTATTGGGTTTTGTATTGTTTCTCGAGGATTCGTAGCTTCGAAGAGAATTTTTACACTTGCAATGAACTGGTTATTTTCAGTGAACTCTTGAATAACTTAGCGTAATAGATGGACAATTACAAATTATACTATCTTGAAAGTTTTCCACCAGGTTTCTTGTATTTCTAATGGTAGAGAAGCAACGTGGGGGAAAACAAGTCGGTTTTAAAACCAACAAAGAATAGGTATACATGTCTATTAAATATCCAAACATTTTTGTCAAAAAAAGGTTACTGTCAGTGTAGCATGTTTGTATTAGTGACCAGCCGAAACTGAAGCCAAACCTCTCGGTTCTGTTCTAGTTTCAGCCAAAATCGAAACTTTTTAGACTTATGAAAATGTCAATTCAGAAAGCTCTTGGATAACTTAGCTTTCATAATGTATGTTTGTTTTTTATCAATATTGTTATAACGAATGGAATACTATAGTTATTTTGTCAAACAACTAGTACATCACCTACCTAGGCTATGAAGTGGTCGAGCACCTTTAGATACGATGCGCCTGGCCAATAATGGTTTTATCAATCGAGATACTTATAGAACTTTATTTCTATAGTAAAATTACTACATTCGATTTAAATATCTCGATTGGTTACATTTACTATAACCTAAAGTTAATTTGCGGTCATGACGTTGGCGGAATAGGATTGGTTTCCGCCTCTGCGACAATAACCATCCGTATACAACGTTGTTTCGTGTTTTTTAGCAATCCTCAGTACATAATATATCTAGTTATTTGGAGTCAGAAGGCAGAAAGAAATGGAAAAAGCTCAATATTGTGATGTGCGAAAAATAAACCAAGGTGACACTGCCAGCTGTTACGTTAGCAGCAGGAATTTGCAGTCTCCTGGCATCAAATGACATTAATTCGCTACCTAGATGTTTTTTATCATATTTTATATAGAAGAGAAAACCTACTTTTCAATGGCGCTTTGCAGTCAATCATGTTAGCAAAGGTCTATTTTATTTCATAAAATGCAATCGTGTTATATATGTATAGTATGCAAACGTTCGAGTACTGCACGACATAACCCAAGACGCAGGAACGGATTCGAGATAATGCACATGATGCACTGTACGTCCGGCCCCGGGATTCAAAGGATCCCCTGAGTAGGGACAACTTATGCTTCCAAATTGATGATGTTCCAACTTGGACAAACTGAAACTAAAGCTTTTACCTACAGTACCTACCACATAGCAACGTGGCAACGCAGCACCGCGTTGCATACACAATATTATACACGCCTCATCATTCAGTGATGCAGTTATAAATCAGCATTCTAAGCAGACAGATGTATGCTCGTTGACTTTTCTTACTCGCGTATATCAAAAGCATTCTCTGTTATAGTACAATACAATAGTCATGATAAGATTTCAGAATCTCTACAAAGGATTAGATTCAGAGGAATTTCTCACACATTACTCAAAAACTATTTAAATAATAGATCCCAAGTTGTCCGAACATGTATATTCATAAAAAAACCATTAAATACAGTATTTCTCGAGGAACTGTCTTTGCGCCAATATTATTTACCTATAACCCTTTTGGTATTGGATGTGTGTGCAAAATCGTAAGTTTGACAGATGATAAAGTGATTTTCTATAAAGCAAATCACTGGCATACCCTCCAAAACACTATAATAGAGGATTTCGGGAAAATTATATAATTGTTTACCAGTAGATTACTGAATATAAACTGTAGCAAGACTTACTTTGTTGCCTTCACATCATATACGAAATATTTACCTAATGGTACATCGATTTCATTCTCGATCAAGAAAGAAGCTATTGAAATAAAAAGGTCTTCAAATGTAAAGTATTTAGGAGTATATTTTGAAGAACATCTAAAGTGAATCGAACAAGGTTTATTATTTATGAATTAAAACATTATTTGAGAATTATATTTCATACTGTAGTTGAAAATCATTTGTATGGAATATTAGCGTGGTGTGCTGCTTAGCAAATATATTTTCATAATCTTGATGTAATTCAAAAATATGTGATCAAAACTATATTCAAAAACCCTGTAGGTACTGTGTCCTTGTGATACTTTTTACAAAGAAACCAAAGTTTTTTACATACGACAACTACATTTTCTTCATAACAGTGTATACTGTCATAAGAACAGAAGTGAAAACAATAGAATTGAACACGAATATCGTACAAGGCACAACTCAATATCCAAGTATGTCCCTACGTCACTCAAAAGTATATTGCCGTATGACTTCGAAGTTGAGTCATTTATTTTAACAGTGAGTAGATCTGATCAAAATAAATGTTTTTTTCCTTTAACATTTTTGTGGTAAAATTAAAGTAACAAAGTTATAGCCCTTTAGAAGTTTGAGTACCGCCCTGTCTCAATAATAATATGTGCTCGTGTTTGGCAACAACGGATATAATCGGAAACAAAAAAGCGAAAGAATTTGAAACGCTTATCACGATGTTTTATTCATTTATTTTATTCAGTTGTATTCATTCGATGTGTCAGTCGGTAACGCGTGAGTGGTGTTTCTGCGTGGCTCAAACGAAATAAAAAATGGCACATGTTTACGAAAATGCTGAACTTGTGGACATGATTCTTATTTTACAAAATGCTGCTACGGCAACACGGATTTATGCGGATCGGTTTCCCAATCGACTGCAACCAACCCTTTGTTAATGTAGTACAAAGGGCTCGTGAATCAGGTGACTTAAGTCCTCACACGGGAGGGTATGTGCTCCAAGACCGCACGATCAAATACAGGTCCGCACTGAAATACTTGTCGGGAGGATATTTTATAAAACAAGGTAACATTTTTTTAATTTTTTTATACAGGGTGACTTTGAAGTTGAGTCATTAATTTTCAGATAATGATTGTAGAAGGAAGATACACCAAAATATGTGTGTAAAAATAAAAAAATAAATAAAAAAAAATGTTACCTTGTTTAATAAAGTATCGTCCAGACAAGTATTTCAGTGCGGACCTGTATTTGATCGTGCGGTCTTGGAGCAGCATGCCCTGACCTGTGAGGTCTTAAGTCACCTGATTCACGAGCCCTTTATACTACAATAACAAAGGCTTGAGGGGTTGGTTGCACTCGATTGGGAAACCGATTCGCATAAATCCGTGATGCATCCGGGAGCATTTTGTAAAGACTGCCCCCCCCGTAAATAAGAATCATGTCCACAAGTTCAGCATTTTCGTAAACATGTGCCATTTTTGATTTCGTTTGAGCCACGCAACAAACACTACTATTCACTAACGCGTTATCGACTGACGAAAAACATCGTGATAAACGTTTCAAATTCTTTCGCTTTTTTGTTTCCGATGCGATGAACCGGTCAGGCGGATTATATCCGTCGTCGCCAAACACGAACATATTATTATTGAGACAGGGCGGTACTCAAACTTCCAAAGGGCTATAACTTTGTTACTTTAATTTTACCAGAAAAATGGTAAAGGAAAAAAACATTTCTTTTGATCAGATCTACTCACTGTTTTTTCCTTTACCATTTTTCTGGTAAAATTAAACTAACAAAGTTATAGCCCTTTGGAAGTTTGAGTAGCGCCCTGTCTCAATAATAATATGTTCGTGTTTGGCGACAACGGATATAATCCGCCTGACCGGTTCATCGCATCGGAAACAAAAAAGCGAAAGAATTTGAAACGTTTATCACGATGTTTTTCGTCAGTCCATAACGCGTTAGTGAATAGTAGTGTTTGTTGCGTGGCTCAAACGAAATCAAAAATGGCACATGTTTACGAAAATGCTGAACTTGTGGACATGGTTCTTATTTACGGGGGGGCAGTCTTTACAAAATGCTCCCGGATGCATCACGGATTTATGCGAATCGGTTTCCCAATCGAGTGCAACCAACCCCTCGTGCCTTTGTTAATGTAGTACAAAGGGCTTGTGAATCAGGTGACTTAAGACCTCACAGGTCAGGGCATGCTGCTCCAAGACCGCACGATCAAATACAGGTCCGCACTGAACTACTTGTCGGGACGATACTTTATTAAACAAGGTAACATTTTTTTTTATTTATTTTTTTATTTTTACACACATATTTTGGTTTATCTTCCTTCTACAATCATTATCTGAAAATTAATGACTCAACTTCAAAGTCACCCTGTATATACAGGGTAACGTAAAATTAAAGTAACAAAGTTATAGCCCTTTAGAAGTTTGAGTACCGCCCTGTCTCAATAATAATATGTGCTCGTGTTTGGCGACAACGAATATAATCCGCCTTATGGGTTCATCGCATCGGAAACAAAAAAGCGAAAGAATTTGGAACGATGTTTTTACAATTATTTCATTCAGTTGTATACAGTCAGTGTCAGTCGGTAGTGAATAGTGGTGTCTGTTGCGTGGCTCAAACGAAATAAAAAATGGCACATGTTTATGCGGATCGGTTTCCCAGTCGAGTGCAACCAACCCCTCGTGCCTTTGTTAATGTAGTACAACGGGTTCGTGAATCATTTGACTTAAGACCCCACATATGGACGGCATGCCGGTGCTCCAAGACCTCACGATCAAATACAGGTCCGCACTGAAATACTGGTCGGGAGGCTACTCTATAAAACAAGGTAAACATTTTTTTTTTATTCTTTTTTATTTTTACACACATATTTTGGTTTATCTTCCTTCTACAATCAATATCTGAAAATTAATGACTCAACTTCAAAGTCACCCTGTATATATATATATATATATATATATATCCATTTATGTCTCCTAAGCTACACATACATATGATATAATTCCATAGATAATAAAACAAGTACATAACAAACAGTTAATAATGTTACAAACTAACCATTATTTTTATATTGCTTGTAATAGAGATATTCTAGAAACATACATTAAAAGAAAAAAGTCATGTGGGTGAAATGCTAACCTCATGCACAGGGTAGGTATCCTTATGAGAGGCATTATGTCCCTAAATTATTTTTAACTGTAAACTGTATTATTTCAAATATTTCCCATGTATTTATACAATTCTTCAAATACTTGTAATAGCCCATTCAAATGAATTGCCTTCTATCGGATTCTATATTTATTTACTTTATACTTCCTATAAATAAATATTATTATTATTACTATTGTTATTGTTATCCAAGTTTTAAGGCAAAATTGACATATTTGTATATTATCTCCCATCCCAACATCCAATTTTTAACCTCTGCAAAAATTTTTATGAAAATGATCAAGATACTCGAAAACATCAACTAAACGAAGATTGAGTGGTTTCATTTTTCTCCGTTGCCACTAGACCTATTTTCAAAAACTACAAAGGTTTTTCGTGCCTGGTATATCCGTAACTTTGTGTGAATATTTCCTCAAAATTTGAACGGTGCTTCCAAAGTTACAGCCCAACCGACGGAAACATAGTTTTTCGTGATATGCATGTAATATCCAAAAAAACAATATATTTTTTGCGATCGCAATACTTCCTCGCCAATTAGCATAGGAAGTGAAAGTAATTTATTTCCTCAGTCAATCCAGTCATCAAACTTCGGGAATTTCACGATACATACGATCCATTTCTCTCCGCCACAGACACCACATGCATATTCAAGCATACGTGCCTAGTGGGCGTGTGGGGAGCAAAGCACGAAAGCACTGCCAGCCGGCGGAGTACAGTGACAGAACGAAGCAAGAAGGAAAGGACAGAACGCCCGCCCAACAACTCGATTCCGCCGTCCGGCGCCCAACCAAATCGGGCCCCCCGTTCGTGGGCAACACGCAACCTGTAATTATATTGGAAACCATCGAGCCGGCCTAGCAGAGACCAACCAGCCGCGGCCATGTCGATGATAACTTCAACGTAGCACGACAGTCGCAGTTATTCATGGGAAGGTAGGTATACAGCACGTAATAGTCAGTCATAAGAGAAGTCTAACTCCCGGAAAATACATAGTGCAATTTAAATTTTCAGCCGCCAACAGGTAAGAGATTGCCAATTGTAGGTACACGTTCGAACTTGTATTATAATAGCTTAGCAACATAACGGACTAGCTATCAGCCGGAGTAAGATAATTTGTACAATGCATGAAGTACATCTCGTGACTCGAACTGAAAATACTTAAATAAAGTAAGCAAATTTAGAACCATGAGAATGACATGTGACAACACTATTATTCTCAAGGATTTGTGCATGGAAAGAGGAGCATTTTTTTGACGTTCATGAAGGATTACTTTGTTCTATTTCCGAACGCATGGAACAGATAGGTAGGTACGTCATACAATTTAATTATCTTATTATTAGTTTTATTACAGTAAGCACAATTTTCAAATAAATGATTCCTTAAGTTCAGAAAAGACTGTGACTCATGGTGTACCACAAAGGACAGTTTCAGGCCCGTTATTTTTTACTGTGTATATCAATAGCCTACTTAGCTTGAAGTCGCAAGGCACAATAAAATGTTTTGCAGATGAAATAGCTCTACTTTATTCTAATAACAATTCCTGGGATAATCTTAAAGAGACTGTTGAAAATGACATTATTTTAATTTCAGATTGGTTTAGACACAAATATCTGACAACAAATTGTCAGAAAACAAAGTATATGCCGTTCACAAACCTTAAAAATAAATTACCGTCATTTACCTCTTTACAATCTAAATGTGACAATACAAGTACATTAATACATTCATCTGATAAAACAAAATATTTAGGTGTTCGTTTTTATCCTCGTTTAAAGTGGATGTTGATCATATAGTAACGAATTTAAGACAATTATTATTTAAATTCAAGTACTTCACTAAATATCTAGACCATGAAACAATGAAGATGTTGTATCATGCACTTATTGAATATCGCCTAAATTATGCCATACTAGCTTGGGGTGGTGCTCTCACCAACCAAATTAAGAAGCTAGAATTAATAAAAAACAATTTTTGAAAATTATTTTAAAACGACCAATTCTATATCCATCTGATATGTTATATTCCGAAGCGAGACTACTCGATCTTAGGCAACTCTTCTTTTACAATGTTTTGACTAATTTATTAAAAAAAAAACCTCATTACATTGGACCACAAATATTAAACAAGAAGTAAAGTCCAGGATATTAAAAGAACACCATTTACAACAAAAAATGTAGGTCAAAGGTGCTTCAGTTACCTCTCCACTAGATTTGATAACTTTTTAGCAAGCCATATAAAATTTATGTCAAATAAAAGTAGATTCAAGATTGAAATAAAAAAAATTCCTGTTAAATAAATTAGTATTTGAATATAATATACTTACACTTACCTTTATGGTTATGTTGTGTTTAAATTTATGTATTAACTATATTTAACTATGTTTAAAAAAACAAAAATTGGTATGAAAAATGTTTTCCCAAGCAAAAGAATTAAGGTCTTCTGTGGGATTATTTCAGCTTATATTCGTGTATATGCATATTTATTTTCAATAAACTGTAATACTTTATACGTGAATAAACTTATATTATTATACTGAGTGACATATAAATCCGAACACCCAGTTTAAATGGTTTTATTTTAATAAAATTTTGTATGAGTACTTAATGAAGCATAATAAGTAAATGATAAAAATTTCAAAATGATTGCACTGCTTTAAAGCCCTTAGACCTTTAATAACGTGTGGATGCACCCTGATGTGCTACGCATTCTCCAACGCGCCTAGGCATGCTTCTGATCAGGTGGTCAATGTCCTCCTGTGGTATCTCATTCCAGGCAACCACCAACTCCTCTCGAAGTGCTTGTAGAGTCTGAGGAGGACGTTGCAAATTGAGCAATCTCCTACCCATCATATCCCACACTTGCTCAATTGGGGATAAGTCGGGAGATCTTGGTGGCCATGGTAACAATGTGACATCATTATGTTGAAAGAAGTCTGTTGTGACTCTTGCAACATGTGGTCGGGCATTATCTTGTTGGAAAGTTGGATCTGCCAGGGTGTCAAGATAGGGTAAAAGATGGGGTTCTAGAACTTCGTGGATATAACGCTGCGCGTTCATGTTACCTCTGATGAAGATTAAAGGTGAACTGGAACCATAAGCTATAGCACCCCAAACCATAACTCCAACAGTGTGATGAACATGTCTTTCAACAAAAATCTGTGAATTCCTCCTTTCACCGCGTCGCCTTCTAACCCTGGCACGACCATCGTGCATGCCTAAACAAAATCGAGACTTGTCACTAAAGACAATACTGTTCCATTCCTGATCCCAGAGTGACCGTTGTCTGCACCACTCAAGGCGATTACGTCGGTGTTCTCGAGTTAAAGGGAGGACCCAGTGTGGCCGGTATGAAAACAAGCCAAAACTTTTCATTCGTCGGTAAACACTTCGCATGCCAATAGGTCTTCCGTGTTCTGCAAACCATTCATTTGAAATGGACCTGGCAGTGGAGAAACGGTCCCTTAAGGCCAATAACCTTAGGCGGAGATCTTCACGGTCTGTTGTTCTACGGCGGCGTCCAGTGCCCCTTGCACAGTGTCTGCACTCTAACTGCAATTGCCCGAAAAGGAAGTCCAGCTTCCCGAAGTCCCACTATACGGCCCCTATCAAACTCACTAAGTTGACGAAATCGTACAGGTCTCCGTACTCTAGGCATCGTAACCGATCGTAAAGGATGTCAAGAACCAAAATCCGCCAACGTTGATTCTTTACTGCGGCTGAAATATTCATTTTTAGAGCGTTAGTGAATTAAAAAAAAAGCAGTATAAAAACCGGAATGTCCAACTGATAGGGCTGAACATTTTTTCACTTCTTATTTACAGTAAGATAAATACATTCACCAACTTTTATTAAAATAAAACCATTTAAACTGGGTGTTCGGATTTATATGTCACTTAGTATATTAATACAGTCCCATCGTAGACATCAATTAATAACTGATCAATAGCACTTCAGTAACGTTACATGAACTACCTTAATAGAAAGTTTTCAGTGCTCTTGCTTTGCTGCTTCACAATGCCCTTATTTCGTCTTTGCGCAGTAGCAGAACAAACTTTCATTAT